GTCTGTGAATTACAGAAGCACAGCAGTGAGAGTCAGGCAGTGACCATCTATGCTGACTACTTCTATCCTATATGACAGGTTAGAAGATATTGAGTATATGCCTAAAGACAGCTATTAATACAGGTGTAGCGAACAGTCGTCTCTCTAACAACAGCTATGAAGAGGCAGCGATAGTGAAAATATCTACAAATGTTATTGTAACAGGTACTGAATATCTTACGACAGCCGCAAGACGCTTGTGAAGCGTATAATGACTTTCTTAGTAACGACATATTTGAATGCTAAGCACTGGTCATCTTACTATCAACAACTATCAAAGGCTAGTATGGCAAGCACTAACAATCTGACTATGAACAACGATCAGAGGCTTGTGTAGCAAATACTGACAATCTGACTATGAACAACTATCAGTGGCTAGTGTGGCAAGCAGTGACCATCTCACTATGAACAACTATCAGTGGCTAGTGTTGCAAGCACTGACAATCTCACTATGAACAACTACCAGTGTCTAGTGTGGTAAGCACTGACAATCTCGCTATGAACAACTATCAGTGTCTAGTGTGGCAAGCACTGACAATCTCACTATGAACAACTATCAGTGGCTAGTGTGGTAAGCAGTGACAATCTCACTATGTACTACTATCAGTGGCTAGTGTGGCAAGCACTGACAATCTCACTATGAACAACTATCAGTGGCTAGTGTGGCAAGCACTGACAATCTCACTATGTAAAACTATCAGTGTCTAGTGTGGCAAGCACTGACAATCTCACTATGAACAACTATCAATGGCTAGTGTGGCAAGCACTGACAATCTCACTGTGAACAACTATCAGTGGCTAGTGTGGCAAGCAGTGATCATCTCACTATGAACATCTATCAGTGGCTAGTGTGGCAAGCACTGACAATCTCACTAAGAACAACTATCAGTGGCTAGTGTGGCAAGCACTGACAATCTCACTATGAACAACTATCAGTGGCTAGTGTGGCAAGCAGTGACCATCTCACTATGAACAACTATCAGTGGCTAATGTGGCAAGCACTGACAATCTCACTATGAACAACTATCAGTGGCTAGTGTGGCAAGCACTGACAATCTAACTATGAACAACTATTAGTAGCTAGTGTGGAAAGCACTGACAATCTCACTATGTACAACTCTCAGTGGCTAGAGTGGCAAGCACTGACAATCTCACTATGAACAGCTATCAGTGGCTAATGTGGCAAGCAGTGACCATCTCACTATGAACAACTATCAGTGGCTAGTGTGGCAAGCACTGACAATCTCACTATGAACAACTATAAGTGGCTAGAGTTGCAAGCACTGACAATCTCACTGTGAACAACTATCAGTGGCTAGTGCGGCAAGCAGTGACCATCTCACTATGAACAACTATCAGTGGCTAGTGTGGCAAGCACTGACAATCTCACTATGAACAACTATCAGTGGCTAGTGTGGCAAGCAGTGACAATCTCACTATGAACAACTATCAGTGGCTAGTGTGGCAAGCAGTGACAATCTCACTATGAACAACTATCAGTGGCTAGTGTGGCAAGCAGTGACCATCTCACTATGAACAACTATCAGTTGCTAGTATGGTAAGCAGTGACAATCTCACTATGTACAACTATCAGTGGCTAGTGTGGCAAGCACTGACAATCTCACTGTGTACAACTATCAGTGGCTAGTGTGGCAAGCACTGACAATTTCACTATTAATAACTATCAGTGGCTTGTATGGCAAGCAGTCTCCCTCTCACTATGAACAACTATCAGTGGCTAGTGTGGCAAGCACTGACAATCTCACTATGTACAACTATCAGTGGCCAGTGTGGCAATCACTGACAATCTCACTGTGAACAACTATCAGTCTCTAGTGTGGCAAGCACTGAAAATCTCGCTATGACCAACTATCAGTGGCTAGTGTTGCAAGCACTGACAGTTTCACTATGAGCAACTATCAGTGGCTAGTGTGGCAAGCAGTGACCATCTCACTATGTACAACTATCAGTGGCTAGTGTGGAAAGCACTGACAATCTCACTATCTTCAATTATCAGTGGCTAGTGTGGCAAGCAGTGACGATCTCACTATGTACAACTATCAGTTGCTAGTGTGGCAAGCACCGACAATCTCACTATGTACAACTATCAGTGGCTAGTGTGGCAAGCACTGACAATCTCACTATGAGCAACTATCAGTGGCTAGTGTGGCAAGCAGTAGCTAGTTTTGCAAGCAATGACAGTCTCACTATGTACAACTATCAGTGGCTAGTGTGGCAAGCACTGACAATCTCACTATGAACAACTATCAGTGGCTAGTGTGGCAAGCACTGACAATCTCGCTATGAACAACTATCAGTGGCTAGTGTGGCAAGCACTGACAATCTCACTATGTACAACTATCAGTGGCTAGTGTTGCAAGCAATGACAGTCTCACTATGAACAACTATCAGTGGCTAGTGTGGCAAGTACTGACAATCTCACTATGTACAACTATCAGGGGCTAGTGTGGCAAGGACTGGCAATCTCACTATGTGCAACTATTAGTGGCTAGTGTGGCAAGCACTGGCAATCTCACTATGTGCAACTATCAGTGGCTAGTGTGGCAAGCACTGGCAATCTCACTATGTGCAACTGTCAGTGGCTAGTGTGGCAAGCAGTGATCATCTCACTATGTACAACTATCAGTGGCTAGTGTGGCAAGCAGTGACCATCTCACTATGTAAAACTATCAGTGGTTTGTGTGGAAAGCACGGGGAATCTAATTTGTGCAACTGTCGTGGTAGTTTTGCAAGAAAGGGGACGTCTCACTATAAACAACATCAGGGGCTGTGTGGAAAGCACTGACAGTCTCACTTGAACAACTTCAGTGGCTAGGGGGGCAGGCATGCTCTTTTTATCGAAAAGTTTGGGTGTATCATGAAATATGACGTGTCAAACCCCTTTAATCTGAAACACGTCAGGCGGGGAAAGGCGCGTGTGAAAATAAAATGTATGTGTAATTGATAACCCAAAGTGTGCTAATAATTAAAGGTTAATTTTAAAATTTGCAAAGCCAAAGGGGAAAATTTTTTATTTAATGTTTTTGTACAATATTAATTTGTAAAACATTTGGGCCCAAGATTTATATCAGTGTATGTATAATTGATAAGACAAGTGGGGGATAAAGTTTATATTGTGTATAATATTAATTTTGTATGAAAAATTTCTTGCAAGGATTTATTAATTTGAATAATTTTAATTTTGATGGCCAAAGTTTGTTTAATGTACATTTAAAATTTTTTTAAAATTTTTTTACATGTAATTGCTGAGCTAAGAGCTGGGATTTTAAAAGGTAGGTTGTGTCAGTGTTATTAATTGGGTTGAATTTAAATACTTTGCTCATACTGAAAATGAGGAAATTAATAAGAAGATAAACATTTTGAATGTAGAGCAAAGAAAGGTTTTTGCAAGCTAGAAAGGTCATGTAACCAAGGCATACAAAAAATTTTTGGAATTAATGAAAAAGAAACTGTGAATATGATGTTTTAAAAATTGTATTTAGTGCTTTAGGTAATAGATATGATTCATACAAATTATATTACAACAATATGAAGGAGTTTGTTAGTAAACTTTTGTAGTGAGACTGAAGAGATTTTTTTGTTTAAATCAGTATTATAAATTTAGGGAAAAAGTTTCTTTCTTTTTTAAAAGTCAGGCCCTTGAATAAATTTAAAAAATGTGTAAACCAACGTTAATCAGTCTGCTCCCCAAAAAAATATGTCTTTCCCCAAAAACCCCCGAATTATTTTTCCCTGTATTTAATCCTGGGAAAAATTGGGGGGGGGAATTTTGGTCAATTTTTTAAAGCAGTGGATGAAGGAGTGGTTTACCCGGGGTGTAAAAAAATTTTTTCCCTAAAAGGACAGATAAGAGGAGAGCTCACATACTCTACAAGCCTTTTCCCAAGAAATGATTTTACAGGAAGCAGTTGACTTGTTAAAAGTCACTTATGGTAATTAGAAAAAAAGTGGGTTTGGATCTAGGAATAATTGAATTTAAAATTTCCCCCGATCACATTACAAAGGTTTACAGCGTTTAGAGTTAAACGGAGAGAAATTCAAACTTTAAGTAATAAATATACCGAAGGAATCAGTTTAGTTATTGAGTCCCATGGTACAGAAAAAAATTAATGAAAAAACACTTGAATGGATTTCACCAAATATCACAAGGGTTTTTTTGGTTGGAGGAAATAAGACTGGCTAAAAGATTTAATTGTGCAGTTGCAGCCCCCAACTAAATCTTTTAAAATGAAACCATTGTGATTGTCTGTTTCAAAAAGGGAAAAATTACCCCAAATGGAAAATAATAAAAATTCATTTCCTAAAAATGTTGCATAGGTGCATATAAAGTAGAAAGAATCAGAAATAATGATTTCAACAAGGTAAGAGATAAGTCCCCTCCAAAGAGTAGCCCAGTTAATAAGAAAAAATCAGAGAAAAAGAGAGTTGTCTTTTCTGCAAGGGTCCCAATTTATTAAAGAATTGCAATGCTACAATTCAGGGAATGATAAAGTTGAAAGTTTTGGGGAACTTGAAGATTTTTTTATCAGTGTTTAGTAATAACAAGAAAAAGGGATTTTTGCCAAATTAAATTCTGTTATAAATGCCACAAGGAAGGACCCCATGTAGTAGTGTAAAGGTCATATGATAATGTTGATTTATAATTTTGACAATCTGCACAACGTAGCTAATGAAAAAAATTGTGCTAATTTTAAATAATGATGGTTTTGTTGAAGTAGTTTCCTGTGTTCAGGTAAAATTGTGAAATAGGCAAAAATAAAAAAAATGTAACCTTTATTGCCCAAGGATCCCAGCGTACTTTCATAAAGTAAATGTCTTGATGGTATAAAAGTACGGGGAGACCCCAAACTTTAAAATTATCTGGGTTTTTTCCCGTAAAAAAGGGCTCAATTGTATGACACTGTTTTTGTAACTGTCAGGTTTGGGCAATGAGAAAAAAC